TTAGCAAAGTATTTTTCCCAGCTAATGTCTCTTTTTCATTCTTATATTACTAAGATTGCCCAACTATACTGGTTCCTTTTTTCACTTTGCATGTGTCAAAATATTTTGGAGATACCCTGTTTTCTAGAACTAAGGCCTAGCAAACAGGCTGTGCCTTGAGCTTGGCATAACAATAATCTTTTGCGCTCTGGATGATATCACCCTCTGGCAAAGTGGGACCAGCACCAGGTGTTGTTCACTGACAGATTTAGTTCCCCCTATTTCCCAGGGACCTGAGAACTAACATCCATCACATCTCTGATATGCTCACAATCTCTGTTCCTTGTAACTGCCAGGTACTGTACTGCCATACCCATCACGACCCCCAAGACCTGAGACAATACTGTTCCCACAGGGCCCATGGGAACATTAACTCAAGACCTAAAAATGATTATGTCATGGGCCATCCAGTATGTATGTATATAAAACCTGCCTTTAATCCAGCATGTTGTCTTCCTTTTGGAGGGTGGGGGGGCACTTCTTATGCATACATCATTTTCCTCACTCTGAAATTAATTAAACTTCTATGTCCTCACTCTCCTGCCTCTGGCCTACTCCGTTTGTTTGGCTCTGGCCACTCACAAGTTAGAGGCCAGTTCTGGTCCAATTGACACATGTAAATAATGTAGATAAAGTCTCATTTTAGGAAGTCTATGTAAAAGAGTTTTTGTTGCATTTTGCCTATTTTATAATTTGTTACTACATATGCCTAAAAGAAAGCCCTGAAATTCACTTTGAATCCTTCAAAACAAAAACTTTTTTGATCTCTAATAACATAATCAGTACTTAATTAACCTCAGAATCACAGTCTTAGAGATGAAAGGGACCTCTGAGGTTAGCATTTGTACCCGAACAAGAATCTACTCTAAAACATCAACGAAACTGGCCTTGTTCTCCCACAAGATATTATCATATCTCTCAACTCCGTGAATTTTCATTGGCTGTCCCCCATGCCTGAATTACACTCCATTCTCATCTTTGCCTCCTGGCTCCCCTGGATTCCTTCAAAGTCTCAGCTAAAATCCCACCTTCTTCAAGAAGTCCCTCTGAAATAACTTCCAGTTTATCCTTTATATATCTTTTATTGGAAGTAGTTATTTGCATATTGTCTCCCCAAAGGAGTTGCCTTTCTTTAGTGATCAAGGCAATTGGTATGGTCAGATGTATGAAAAAGTAATGCAGCTGAATAATTTGGGAAATTCAACATAAAACTGGGGAAATAATTTTTGTTGAAGTTAGCAATTTAACTATATGCAGCTTGGTTTCAATGTTGTGCTTCCAGCACCAATGTACTTAGTAATAAGATAAAAAAAATACATAGGCAAAGGGGCAGCTAAGTAGTGTAGTGGATAGAGCACTGGCCCTGGAGTCAGGAGGACCTGACATTTGACACTTACTAGCTGTGTGATCCTGGGCAAATCACTTAACTCTGAATACCTGGTGGGGAAAAATGCATAGGCATTATTGAGGATAGGATGGTCTCTTGATTCCAGAGTACAAGCCCTCCTTACTCAATATTTGAAGTGACTCCTTGAGCTCAAGAAATCATCATATGCTTTTTTTTCTTCTCTTGATGTAAGAACGACAAAAAAGCAGTATAATGAAAAAGTCTGAAGGAGTGGCAACACAAGTGGAATGCTTCTCCAAAGCTAATGTATCTGAGAAGGCCTAAAGGTGTGGAATGGTGAGCTGCGAATGCTCTATGGCGGTTATATATCAGTTGGCATAGAAGAGGAAAAGTACATAAGCAGCCACCTGAGAGTATATCCTTATCTGGAATGGAAAGGGTCTTAATTGCAAGGTATCTTATGAGGTACTAATAGTGTTTGGATATGTATATACACATACATACAACTACATGTGTGTGCATTCACCTTTCTTCCAAAGAGTTCAGAGGACTCTGAAGGTCTGAAATAAGCTCTCACTTTAGAGGAAATAGAGACTTGGACTTTATGGGAAATATAGACTCAAGTAGCCATAGATCTCTCACTATAATTATATCTAAGGTTACATTTCAAATTTAAATAGTGACATGATTCTTAATAATACAGGATTATCTGAACAATAATACATTGATTACTGAGATGTAATTAATGTTTACCTTCAAAATATTAACACATACAAACCTATATTGTGTATATATAGATATGTGATCATATATACACAACCAGGTATATGCATGCCACAATTCTTTTACATGTTCTGGGCACCAAGCTAAAGGACAACATAATAGAAATGCCTCATAAACCAATAGATGATCAATAAATACTTATTTAATTGAACTGAATACAGTGCAACTTAACCATAAATTTAAGTTGATTAAGTAAATTACCGCATACAGTTTCATCTTGTTTTTCTTGTTTAGGAGGCCAGTTGCTGCTCATAACTATTGTCACATGCTGACTAGATCATGCTCATATTTCAGACCCCCATTCATCCTCCTCCCACACAACTATTGTGCAGCTGTCCCCAAAGCAACTAAGAGATTCAGCACTGCCCACTAGTCTAAGCTGGCTAACTTACAAAGCCATTGCTTTGAAATCTTATCTCAACTTTCTGACTTCTACAATTCTGTATAATTCACATATATTGAGCTGGTTCTTCATTTGTAGGCTAAAGATATTTAAAATGCTAACCTACGTGACAAAATTGTTCAAAAGAATAACTTGACTGTAAATTCTTATATGACATTTCATGGGGATGCTAAATAGAAGTTTTAGCAATTTATCAGATATTTTATAAAGATGTCTCACCACATATGCCAGTATCCTAGAATCCTTCCCAGACGAATTTAACCAATTTTATTACCCCGTATCTCAAACCAAATCAACAAGCAAATTTATTAAGGTTTATTATGTGCCAGATACTGTGCTATGGTCTGGAGAGACAAAAGATCAAAACAGGAAAAAAACAAAACCCTTCCCTTAGCTATCTGGGAGCAACAACACGAACATTATGTAAGTAAATACAAAATACACAGACGTTAAAATTGAATAGGTGGGAGATGGTGGGGAGTTGGTTACTAGTAGTGGCTTCAAGTAAAAGGCTTTAAGTAAGAAGTGACCTTTGAGCTGAGAGCTTTAAAGGGAGGCAGGGATTCGATGGCATCATTTATTATATTTTTTAGCATTTATTACTAAGCATCTACCAAGCACTGTGCTAAGGACTGGGGATACAAGAAGACTAAAAAAAAATAGTCTCTGTTCTCAAGGTGTTCAAAGCTTAATGAGATGGATGTGAGAAGTGCAAACATTGTCTGTGCAAAAGCAGAGAGAAGAGGTGGAATACAGTGTACGAAGAATAGCAAGTAAACCAGTTTGGCTGTGAAGGAGAATGCTTAAAGAGGAGTAATGTGAAACTCACAAGCCTGAAAATAAATTGGTGTGGGCAGCCGTGGTAGAGGTAGGAGGGTTGGGTAGGGGATAATCAGAGGCAGAAACGTTCAACTTCCATTTTGCACACTTAGCTGTAGTTCTAATAAAGGGCTGGTCTAGGCTGGAATTAAACTAGCAGGTAAAAGCCATTTATGAATTAAGTTACCAAGCAAAACCCTCTTACAAACAGACCCTCCCCCAACTAGCACAGATAAATGGAGTTACTGTTGGTGGGGCTAAACGAGGACCGTTAAAACCCAATTCTTTAGCACAAAGGTTAGCAAAGAGCCAGTAACTGGCTTAAGACTTTTTCCCCCTCTTTTTTTTCTTTCTTTCTGGCGTGAGCTAGGCTTTCCCAGTACCCTTAACTTTAACTACAAGACCTCCCCCCCAACCCCCGCCATCCTTGCTCACGGGGCGGAAGGCCTGGGCTGGGCTCGGCTCGGGCTCTGTGATTTGGAGTGGCTGGGGGGTGGGGGTGGCGTGAGGTAGGTAAGTCGAGGCTTGTGAGAGAACAAAGGCCGCCGGGTCCCTCTCAGAGGTCACCCCGGGACAGGGCTCCTGTCAGTCTGGTCCCGGTCTGGTAACTGAGCCCGGGGAGCGGGCCTCCCCTCATGCCCGGCTACCAACCAGCCTCAACCTCCACGCAGGACTCCCCTCCTCGGGACCGCCCCACAGGCTGAGAATCTCCCCGCTCCCAAGCAGGCTAGGCAGCCACCAGCCCCCCCTCACCCCGTCCCCCTTAGGTAGTTGTTAGGCAGAGGCCTCAGGTACAGGCGGGTACCCAGGGGCTGCCTGAAGGTGAGCGGGCCAGGAAGGAGGAGGGAAATGGAGGGGGTGGGGGCGGGGCAGGGCAGGCTGCGGCGGAGGATGCGGATGCCACTGCGGCTGCGCGGCTCTGGCAGGACTCGACCCGGCCAGCCCGAGGCCGGGGCCGGGGAGCTTAAGGAGAGTGGCTCGATGAAACAAACACCCAGACTGGGCCAGAGGGCGGGCAGTTAGTTCTCAGATTAAATTCATTCCCCGCCCTCCGGGGGGGGTATCTGAGGGGAAGGGGCACTCGAAAGCACAGACTAAAGGCGACATCCACTCCAGCACCTCTAAAAAGGTCGCTTTCGCTAGCCCAGGTTTCCGCTCGCCCCCTCCCCCCCGTTATGTAATAGGGATGCGCAGCCATTGGGCCGCGCCGACCGGAAAAGAGTCGGTGTGCTAGCGGAGAGGGGGGAAGTAGGGGAGGGGGCCGGAGGGCGGAGCCGAAAGGAGAGAGGGAGAGCGCGGAGGGGTGGGGATGGGGGTGGGGGAGGAGAGTTGGGTGCGCGCCTGGCGCTGGGGAAATCGGGAGAGCAGCCGCGGTCGCCGCCGCCGCCGCCGCCGCAGCAGCAGCCGGGAAGCGTGGGCGTGCGTGCTCGCGCGCGTGTGCACGCGGCGCCATGGGGTCTCGCTCTTCCGATTGAGGCGGGCGGGCGCGTGCGCGCGGCGGGCGTGAGGCGCGGATTGTTGTGCGCTCCCTCTCTCCTCTTTCGGGCGGGCGGGCGGGGTGTCGGCGGCGGCGGCGGCGGCGGAGGCCGTGCGGGGAGCGCTCTCTCTCTCACTCAGTCCCTCTTCCCTCCCTCTCCCTCCCTCCCTCCTTCCCCCGCCCCCAGCACCCTCGCCCCGCGCGGCGCCTCAGACGCCGGACTGTCCCAGCCCCGGTAAGCGGCTCCGGGCACCGCGGCGGCGGGAAAGAAGGGGCCGGGAAGGGGAGGACAGAGCAATGAGGCCGGGGCCCGGGCGTCCGCCCCTCCTGCCGCAGACCGCCCCGGGCGGCCGGGGGTGGGGTGGGGGGAGGACCAGCAGCTGCGGGAGGGCCTGGGACCGAAGGGCGCAGGTTTCGGGGGAGCGTGGCCTTTGCTCGGGGTCAGTTTGGAAGGCGGAACAGAGCAAGGCTGGGGGGGGGGGAGGCGCACGGGACGGGGCCGGCTCTTAATGCCCCAAGCATGGTAGTAGTAGGGGAGGTGGCTCATGGGGTCTGCTTGTGAAATGGGAAGCTGAGAGAAGCCCCCCAAAACACCCCCCCTCCGAAAAGATGGAGTCAGAAGCTCGTGTCGGAATGGGTCTGATCTTGGGCTGCCTCCTGGTCTTACAGGGCTTTTTTTAGGGGTGTCCAGATGGTATGGGGAGAAGGCGCTTCCTCGATCCAAAAGTACCAATCCACTCTTTCTCATTTGTTTTGATTTTGGACTGATTCTCTAGTGCCCCCCCCTTTTTTTCTTTCTACTTTAGACTCTTGGAACTTAGGCCATCTAAGAAAACCCATTCCTCCTGCACCCCCCCCCCATTTTGCAGCCCCTACCAAAAAAAACACATAAAATGGAAGAGTTTGGTGGAACTCTGAAGGTCGGGCATTTGTAAATTACTTGTTGCCTTCCATTACATTACGTTACCATTAAAGGGGGATCTTTATACTTTTGAATTAGTAGAAAACTTTGTTGACTCTCAAGTCTGGCCAAAGTCTATCAAGAAATAGATGTCAATTTGTTTCTCTGCTTTCAAAAAGGAAATCACTATTATGTAATGTCAGAACTTAAGAAACTTCTCTCCCCCCTCTCCACCTCAGGTTTTGACTCTGTTTAATTTTGCTTTTTATCTGCCCAAAACTTGCCTCTTTAACTATGTGAGAAGAGGAGTAACATGGCTTTTCTTTTGGTCTGAGGGGAGGCCATGAGAATGCTTGTATTTAAACCTGTTATGTAATAATATGTAATTTTTTAGTGAAGTGAGAAAGCCTCCCTACCTTATAAAACTGGGACATTGTTCCACAAACTAGTGATATTACTTTGTACCAATGTACGAAAGTAATTAACCAGTGTATTAGGCCTTTGAACAGAAAGGTACCATCCTAACAGCTTAAATAGAGATTTCTTTCATCTTAAGAAACTTCTGGAATTCTGTTAGTGGCCTGCCATTTTAGGATGGGAGGCTTTGGAGTGTTGTGCCACAATGTAAAGGTTAAATATCTTCAAGGTTTAAAGGTTAAATCAAGGTAAACTAAAGAAGTACATTTAAGTTACTGGAGCACAAAAGAATTAATAGCATTCTGATTATAAGAAACACTTTAGTGAGTCTGACGTAACTGGAAACTACCTTCCATTGATGCACAGTGGTCAAGACAACTTTCATTTAGTAGAAATGGTGATTTTAGTAGCATAAAATTTTTAAATAGAACATACTTTTAAATACCTCATAAATCCTAGATTACAAAAAACACATGGATGGAGGAGGGGGTCCATACTGACACTCAGCTTGTAAAGTCTTACTACGAAATTATATTTGAAACATTTTCTATGAAAGGGTGGTGGTGAATCAGTTAGGATTAGGTTAGTGTATTAAATATTTCTCAGGTCTGTTACAGATAGTAACCTTGGTACAAAGGGAAACCTATTTGGCTTTTGATTTTCAACTTAAATCTAATGCTAAAAGCAGATTGTCTAAAAAATGTACTTCAGGTTTTTGCTGTGGCTGTTAATTCTTTTGACATATCTACTTTTAAGAGAAAATCAATGTATCAGAGACATGAAGTGTAAGAGGAATTTTATCTGGTAACATTGTTTAAGTATTTATTCAGGGCTGGTTGGTATGCATACATCTATAGGTGTGTATATATGTATGTACGTAATATGAGAGGTTTAAACTTACATTTTAGCATAATATATAAAGATGAATTTAGAAGTATACTTATGTCTACTTTAATACATTTTCTTTTAGTCTAGGCACTTTATGAACTAAGAAAAGGGCTCGAGGCAGCAATAGAGAGAGCTGGCGTAGAAACCAGGAAGAGAGATCCTGGGTTCAAGTCTAGTCTCTGGAAGTAGCTGTGACTCTGGGCAGATCACTTATTTTCTCAGTGTTCTAGGGCTGAAAGCTGCCCTAAGAACTCCTGAGTATGTCCTGATCAGATTAAAATGTAATTGGGAAATGTTTAACAAAATAAATTAAAATATACTGCAACATAAAAACACTCATTTGTGATTTTCTCAATCAGTGTGTTGCTGGCCAGCATCTGTTTCTAGGTAACCCTGTAAAGCCATAAGTTACATGGGAAGGTACCAGCTGGCATTGGTATCAGGAGTTCTCTATACCAATAAAATGATAGGTCAGATTGATTAAAAACTTGACCTACACACCTCTGTAGAACTTTTTTTGGTAAGGCTTAGAAAGTGCTTTACATGTGTTATCTCTTATAGCATCTTTTAAATGACTTGTCTAACACCTGAGTGTCTGAAGCAGGATTATCTCTTCAGTTTAAAAATAGTGATTTTTTTCTAGGGAAGTGTAGCTATTTTTAGTATGATTGAAAGCTTTGGATCACCAGTATTTGTGGTGTGATAACAATAAAACAGTAATTTTGTTCAGTCATTTCAATCACATCTAACTCTTTGGGACCCCATTTGGGATTAGGATACTGGAATGGTTTGCCATTTCCTTCTCTAGTTCATTTTACAGAATGAGGAAATTGAGGCAAACTGGTTTAATCAACTTGCCTCTAGGGTCATGCTGGTAGTGTCTGAGACCAGATTTGAGCTCAGGTCTTCCTGATTCCAAGCCTGCTGATCTATCCCCTTTACCACCTAGCTGAACAGTACTTTGAAGTACTTATATCAAAATGGTCTTGTGAGGTTGGTGGTGAAAATAACATTTTTCTTTTATAGATGAGGAAACAAAGACAGAAGGGTGAAATAACTTAATAGGATCAAGCAACTAGTCAATGGCAGAATTTAAATTCAGACCTGAGGTTTCTGGGTCCAAATGCAGTGCTTTTCCACCACTATGTCATTATGTAGCCATGGCAGATGATTCCAAAGGGTTCCTTTGATTATGGTGAAGCACAGAGAATGGATGAGTTTAGTTTAACTCTTCCGTCTGGCCTGTCTTTTGAAATAGAGATTTCATCAAGTCTTGAATATTATAAATTGAGGCAGCACTAGAAAGACTAATTTTTCAAGGGTGTTTATCTTGTAGTACTGTGAAACCTGAGTGTTCTTTGAAGAGAAGAATAATTCCCACCTGCTGCTCTGATTTCCTTGTTATTTTGAGACATCAGGTGACAAATCTTGTTTCTCCTAAGTTTTAAGACTCCAGCTTCACATTTACTAAATGAGGGGGAAACGATAAAATTGAAGAGAAATTTTTCATTGAAAAAAATTGCAAAAAATTTTGGTTAGCTCAGATTTTTCATGTCATACTTAACCACTTTAATTCTAGATACTAAAAGAGGGGAGAAGACATCATATTAAGTTTGCATTGTGTTATAGGTGTCCTACTGATGATGTCTCTTCGGCATTGCTCCTTAACAAGTTAATCACTGATACCTATATGTTAATAACTTTTTCTTTGTTTATAGATATGGCTCGTGGACAGCAGAAAATTCAGTCTCAGCAGAAAAATGCCAAAAAACAAGCTGGACAGAAGAAGAAACAAGGACATGATCAGAAGGCTGCTGCTAAGGCTGCCTTGATATATACCTGCACTGTCTGTAGGGTAAGAGGGGCTAGAAAGCCCAGCATTTCTGTGAATAGTTCTTCTATTACTTAGATTTAGATAAAGACTTATTAGTATAAAGTTATGGTATCCATGATTACACTATCCTGATCCCTCGTTATCATCTGTCCAGACTTGTTTCTGCCACCTCTGCTCTGTTCCCTCTAATCAATTTTCATATTGCTTTCAAAATATTGTTTATACATAGAGCTTTCATGTTAAAATGGTTTCTTCTGGGCACCTCAGTTGATACCTTGCAAGGAAATTGTGTGCTATGTTGCTAGTTTAGGAGTTGAATATAAAATAATCAAGTGAATCTCAGTTACTTTAAAATGTAAACATTTGCTTCTTTATGAGTTCATAATTGTTACATAGTCGGGGTATATCAGCATAATTAGATAGAATGTTAATCATACTAAGAACAGAGCAAATTTACTATGTGTAAATTGGTTTAAAGATAATGAGGGACATGTTTGTAAGTACCAGGCCTAAGTCTCTTTCTACTTTAATATCTGGACAACAGGAGCTTTGAAAATTTGTGAGAAAGCAAGACAAAGTACTACCTAGGCTGCAGGCTGGCCACTGATGGGGATAATACTGGTATGAGCATATTATAGCTTAGTTGAAAGTATTACTGGAAATGGTGGTATACTCAAATAACAAATGAAAGACTATTTCTAAAATGGAATCATTATTAGAGTAGATGAAGTATCTTGCCCTTGCTAAGACATAGCACTGTTAATAAGATTGAAATAAAGAGTAATAATAGTCAAATTTAATTGACTGTTACGTGGTGGGAATCTTTTTGTAGGAAGAGAAATTTTGAAGTTGGTATTAGAATCATTGTGTGGAAGTGAGCATATTCTAATCTAGTCTTAATATAAATTTAGTGAATCTATGATGTTGCCTCTTTGACTGTTAGTGTCTCAGTTTCTCTTCCATGATAACTAACTTTTTCTCTCTTCTCTTTTTATCCTTTGCCTCATCATTCTGTCACTCAGACACAAATGCCGGACCCCAAGACCTTTAAACAGCACTTTGAGAGCAAACATCCTAAGACTCCACTTCCTCCAGAATTGGCTGATGTTCAGGCATAAAGTTGTTTACAGGTCATTGATTTTTTTTTTGTTTGTTTTAATTAGGGTTGTCCAAGACGACATAACTATCTCCTAAAATTGTGAGATTAATTTGTCTTCTGGCTAAGACTTGATAACTGTTTCCCTGTCTTAAGAATTTAATAATTGTACTAAAAGACCATTTTGCAGTACTTCATACCATGTCTTCAGAACACCAAGTCTATTTTAACCTGTACTACTATTGCTGCTGCCAAAAATAAAAATTAATAAATAAATGAAAGAAACGGGAAGCTGGCCAACCCTGGTCCTCCTGGAATGGAAAAGATAAATCAACTTGAAGAGAATAGTTAATACAACTGTATTTTGAGACACTTTGCTGCCAGAAATGATGCAGGCTAATGTAGGTGAGCAGGATTATGCAGGTTTTTTACTTGTGTACCTGCTGTATTCTAGTATTATAGGAAAAAATTCGTCATGTATTGTAATTGCTAGAAAACTATCAATTTTCACTCTTGATGGTTTGTTTGGATTCCCCCCCCCCACGTGTACACATACACTCCTTTAAACTGTCTCATAGTAAACTGGTCAGAGATCTGTTGTTGGGGTAGTAAAAATCCAATTAGCTGTAAAGACCAACTGAATCTAGAGACTGCTTTTCTATAAAACTCAAATTCTTTGTCAAATGTCCGGTTTGTTTCTTTCTTGGGCAATATAAGCAATGTGTAAGAGTAGTGTTGCATTCAGTTACATTCACTGAAAGCTATTCTTATGTTTTTGTAGGTGAATTCATGGCACCTATTGACTCTTCTACTATCTCAGACCTTAGGTAATAAACCTGCAGCTGCTTTTCTAACAAACTGTTGATCAGCAAAAATAAGGGGGCTACAGAAACACACATTTTTATGCTGTTCCCTTTTGGGCTTCATGCAAAGACAATTCTGTGTAAATGTACAGTTGGGCCCTGATTTGGAAATCCTGAAAATCAGTCCATCCTTGTTATAAAAATTTTTTTACAATTGTAATTATATTGATGTTCATATTGTGTAAAATAATTCATTTAATAAAGTAGTACTTTGATTTTACAACATCACAGGATAAATGCTTGTAGAAGTTCTGTTCCACCTTTACACATCTGCCTTAAAATCTAATGAAGACATCAGCTAGAATTGCAAATGCTTTGCCTCTGCCCCCTTTCCATCAGATTTGTTGGTTATTCATACTAAAGCAGACTCATCCAATACATGTATTCCTATCATATTATTTTAGGTAGCCAGCTAATGAAACAAAAGAAGCATTGATTAACTGCTCTCATTATAAACTTTATATTTTAATTTGTAGGTTCATTTAGTAAAACTTCTTAAAAATTATGTGCCATTCCCCCTTCAGTTGTGCTTATATTGGGTGTGCCAGTACTTAAAACAGCTTGGGACTGGTTCTGAGAAAGGAATTGCAGATTTGGCAAAATAATCCTTTTCTTGCTGGCTCTGAATTGGATATAATTTAAATTATTGGTTAAAGAACAGCTTACAAGTATTTGGTAAATGATTGAAGGAGCCGAGTTTTCCTTATGAAAAATAAGGTTCTAAAGTATGTATCTGCCATAACAAAAGAGGTCAAAAATTATTTAACCATTTTATGTAAGATTAAGCTTGGAAAATTTATAACTATAAACTGGTCTGTCTTCAGCCTATAATATGTAAATTTCTTTCAAAATTATTCTAGATGGGTTTAAATTGAAGGTTAAACTTCTGAAAGGATTATTTTAAATATTTGCCAAAATAATTGGAAAATGAATTAGTTTAAATGGGCCAGTTTTGTGGCTTGTAAATATCATTAACAGGAAGAATGAAATGGCATACTTAAGCTAAGTATCCATATGGTGTCATTGTCTTTAAGAGTGTATTTTGGTTTCATTTTTAAACTCTTAAAGGCCATATATGTTGGATTTGGATTAAGGGTTTAAGAACAGTTTTGTGAACAGTTTTACACCCATAGACTTGTTTTATAGGTATGTTAAAAGTATTTGTGGAAAAGAGAATTCAAATAAAGTTAAATCCTGCTAGGTGAAGAGAGGCTGTTTAGAAATTGATTCTTAACAATTTATTCTCATCAGAACTTCGAGATTAAATTTGTTAATAGTGTCCATTTTAACTGATTTGATTTTTTAAAAATGTAATAGGAAGAACAGTATTCAAATATAAACTTAGGGAGTAGTAGCACATACTAGTAGCCAGATTTTATGGACACCAGATTCTATCCTCCTTTAACTGTCATTGCAGATTGTTCCTACAGTTCTGCATCATCTACATTGTGTGTATTATTACCGTTTAAAATGAGGTTTTAAGAGAACTGATGATCTGATGGAGAGAGTTCATAAGAAAACTCTTATAGTTCACCTGACCAAAAGAAAATCTTTTAGTACCCTTTTCCATTCCGTAAGTGTTACATTGACTATTGGTTATATGGTATCTTAATATTGATTTATCAGAATGCTTAGAATTCTACCTTTGTTCATGTGCGGGATGTTATTCTGGTTAATTTCAGTTAAAAGGAAGTATTCTGAGCATATGTTTTTTCAATGTTTAGTGAAGTGTTTTTCATTTAAAAATTGTTCTCTTTGAATTTTAGTTTTTCTTTCAGTTGCCTTACTAATTGTATAATTTTTTAATAAAAGGTTTTTATGTTTGTATTCAATTCATTATGAGAAGCTAAAGAACCACATTTAAAGCTGTATCACAGTGATAGGAAAAAATAGCTGCATTTATCTTGCATAAAACCTTTAATTCTCATACTTAATATGTGAATTGTTCTATCAGCTACTCTTTTTTGGTTGTCATGTGTGTTAAATCTTCAACAGGGGAAAATCTTAAAATTTCAGAGCCCTAACTAAATATTTTTGTAATTTGAAGATTCTATAACACATCTAATTGTTATGATGTCTTCAAAAGGCTTAGTAAAATATATTGAGGGAGGATTTTTTTTTCCTTTATAAGTAGACATCAGTTGCTGAAGGGAGTGGGGTTAATAGTAAATTTGTGTCCACTCTTTCATATGACTATACCCCCTGTTAACTGACACACTGGAGGCTCAGTTGTGTGCTGTAATGTCTCATTAAAGAAAATATTAAAGAAAATAAAGTAGTGTAAAATCTATTTCTTGCCTGTTACCAAAGAGGTTTTTCTCTTTATCCTCCTCCCTTTTAGTTTAGGGCACTATTGAGCTTTTGAGTGAAATTCGCTGTAGCTATTTCTAAAACAAGTTCTGGAGTGGCAGGAGGCCTCTTTTCATTCCTACGGTTTTCCTGACAACACACGATCAGAAGTTAGTTGTTCCTTTGGTTCTTGAGAGAGTACCTTTTTAAGACCAAGAAGGGTAATTGGAGCTCTCTTTCTTAGGCCTTTTCTGACTGAGACAGTTGGGAGAGAAGGAAGACCTAATGTCGACATTCTAAAACCATTAGAACTAAACACAAAAGTTTGCTTAGGTTGGTAAAATGTTTTTGATTAAACAAGTTCCTGATGACCTTGACAACATTTTGAAATGTCAACTTAGAAGTGAAAAGCTTCATTTAAAAACCCCAGAGCAGCTAATTAAGCCCTTTTACACTTAGGTACACTAGAATGAGAAAAGCATTGCTTTAAGACAAAAAAAAGTCATTTATAGATTAGAGATTTTAGTCCTTTTGACAGTTCTTTTGTTAATGTCTGGAATGCAATGAATTTCACTAAAGGCAATAACTTATATTGGTGAAAAGTTTTGATTAGAGAATTACCAACAGAATACCCACAATTAGATTATTACAGTACTGAGAGGACTTTGAGCCTGGTAAGTTTAATGTCTAGAGCCCTGGGAGTCAGTAGATCTGGTTCTGCGCTTAAAAATGGCTTGGAAAAATCTGTACCTCAATATACTCTTCTTTTAAAATGAGGGGATTTAGACTGAAAGAGCTTTTAAGTTATCATCCAGTTTTAAATTGTAGATTAAATCACTTAACCTCTCAGCTTCACTTTCCATATCTATGAAATGGAAATAAAACTTTTATCTTACAAAATTGGATTGCAATTCCTGGAAAATTGGCTTTAATAATTATCTCAAAACTTTTCCTTGTGTAGTTAAACAAAATATTTAAAATAGGTTAAATGTTTATTTTTATGGGTTTTTTCTTCCATAATACAAAGTACGTTACAACACCTTTTGGAAATACCACATTCTGAATCCGCAAGTATTCACAGTTGTTAGGCTTCCACTACATTAACAGGTAGCATTTTCTTAGAAGAGTTAGTAACAGTGTGATTTTTAAGTACACTGAATGCCAACAGCAGGGTTGTTTACTATAATAAACCAGAAATCTCAAACACACCAAAAACTAATCCATTATAGAAATTTCAGAAAATCAGCCTCCAGTGTGTAGTTTTTTTAGGACTAGACTACAATTATAGCTGTTTCCATTGCTATGTTTGGGAAACTAACAAACTTGGTTTAAATTTCAATTTGCATTTCTAAATGTTGATTAAACAAATTTTTTTCAATTTTATATTAAATCTTTAGTGCTGTTCAGCTGGTTGAAAGTATATGTGTGTGTATATACACACACAACACATGCATATACAAGCCTGAGCTTTTTACACTAAGATGGGAATTTTTAATGTGTGTATGGTGTGACTTATAAAGGAACTTATTTTCAACATAAATCAATTATTAGAGTTACTGTGTTTGAATATCAAGCACAAAAAATAGTTATGTTACCTATAAAAATACTAGGTTTATATTTATGCAGAATAAATCTAATTTTATTGCTGGAAGTACTAGGACAACACTGTCAAAAACATTTTGTCCTATGGTACAGTCTCACTACATAAATTGTGAGAAGACTAAAGCAGGGTAGTGGAAAGAGACTAGGCATTAGGAAGCAGGAGACTTAAGTAGTTAGTTGTGTGTGTTTGAGGAATCTCTGACCTACAGTCTTGGTTCATCTATAAGTGGGAATAATATGTATCTGAAGACTGAAAGAGGTAAATGTGGTAAGTAGAACACTGGATGTGGAAGTCTGAAGACATGCCTTCAGAGTATGGCTCTGCTAACTTTTACTATAACTGAGGACTATTGGAGAAATCACTTCACCCTCCGGACCCCCAAAAGCCCAGTTTATCTGTGAAGTAAGATGGTTGGACTAAATGATTTCCAAGATCCATCCGAGTTCCAGGATTTGTGATTCTGTAACTACATCATAGTAAAGTTTAATAAAGTATTAAAATTGGCCGGGGGGGGGGTGTACAGTTGAGGGGAGAATGGAGGGGTTGCTTTTTTTTTTTTCTTCTTTTTGGCATGGTGGGCCATGGGAATTTTCTGGTGATAAAATTAAGATTAAATCCTGTTAGCACTGCTTGCTTTTCCAGGAAGGCCTTTGAACTAACATACAATATTTACTTGGTAGTTAAGATGTATTTGAAATCAACTTCAGGTGAATACTTTTAAGCAACGAGCCTTAATGCTTTAAAGATGTGAAAATAGGTATTTTTGGTATTGATTGCTGAAAACTGTAAAGTACTAATAAGACCAGAAGTTAAGGTAGTACACAAATTTACTCTGTTGTGAAATGTTTAGTATTTTAATTTGCACACTTTTTCTTTGGTCATTAAATTAGTTTTCTACATTTTCCCTTAGCACTGATATGCTTTTTTAGCCACTCATTTTTACTAAAAATGAGGAAATTCTATATACTGAGCACTGATTATTTCTTTAAAAGGTCTGATACATCTTTGGATATATTTTCAATTTACTCATTAAAAATGTTATCACTGAGACTCAAGATACTTTCTAAACTTGGTTTTAGATTAGCAATTCACAAGTTATATTACTCATAGTTAACATATCCATCTTGGACTTGTGAAAAGTTCATTTAGAATTTATAATCTTTGTAAACTTAAACATTTATATGGATGAAAAAGGCAATGAGTCAGTTTCTTATGTCCCTTTTATCACCTTTATTTGGTGTCTTGATATTTTTTCCAGGCTCTTGGATTTTTCCCCTTTCAATTGATCTCAAGATGCTTTTCACAGTTGTCACTTCCAAGGAGGCTTCTTTCTCTGTGTAATAGCTTCTTTTTTAACATAAATGCAATTTCCACTCCCTCATGTAATAATAGCACTTTGGGTACTAAGGTTAACTACCCAAAGTTGGTAGTTTACACTATCATAGATAGGCAGAGAAAATGCTGGCAGAAATCTGTTCTTATTTGTGTCTTGTCCTTCTATCTATTGATACTTTGAAGATGATCTGGCTTAATTGGGTCTCATACTGAGCTGTTCCCAAAATTATTTTCCCCTTTACTGATTTTAATTTTTTTTTTGGTGGTTTTTTTTTTTGGCAATTGGGGTTAAGTGACTTGCACAGAGTCACACAGCTAGTAAGTGTCAAGTGTTTGGTCTGAGGCCAGATTTGAACTCAGGTCCTCCTGACTTCAGGGCTGGCGCTCTATCCACTGTGCTACCTAGCTGCCCCTACTGATTTTAATTTTGTGAGAGAGTAAATCTTCCACCATCCTGTTAAAACTTCCAAATGTATCATTTGCAGACAGCATTGTATTAATTGCATCAATACTACAGAGCTTCTTGAATGATATTCACAGCCTCTCAACAGTTAGACCTAAAAATCCTCACAGGAAAAACCAAAGTGAATCAGTACTTCCCAGACTAATAAGTAATGGTCTATTGCCCAAGCTTTAGTATAACATGGGTAAAGCAGTCTATTGACTTAGGATTTGGACAGTTGATGCATATACCTTGCACACAAAAATCTTTAACAATATTCTCCCATTGGTGCTCCGTGACTGCTAATCATGGAGCAGCACTATAATCTGAACAACAGAAATAGCATGGAAACCACAATGGTGGGACATTGGGACGGTTAGTAAATTGCAGCATATTACTAATGGGTTGCTCCCAGGAAGCAGCACGAAAAGGTATGATCTGAAAAAGGAAGTGGGATGTTCCCCATGGTTGAGGAAATAATCATTTGTTGCTGACTAGCCCAAGGGCTTTAGTGGTGTCTATGAAATGTTAAAATACACAGAAGAAGGGCCTCCAGCAGATTAGGTAGATTCATAGTAGGATGTGGGTAAGAAAAGATTTAACTATCTTGTGATGTGTGCCATTCACAAGAGTACCCGCATCCATGAGACTGATTGAGATAATCCTTTTACGTGGTGATGGTCCTACTATCAGATGTGTATATGTATTGAGATTAAGTTGTTTTGAAATCAATGGGTATGGGTTGTGCTGACTCATTGAAACTTCCCATGTGGTATAGTAGAATATGCAAACAACTTTGTAGAAACAAGAGACACACAGGATAAATGGGAGACAATCAACAGAGGAAAGGCACCAGCACTGAGAAGATGGTCAGGAAAAATTTGTGGAAGTTAGAATTTTAGCTGAGACTTGAAGGAAGCCAAGAGGTGGATTTGATGGGAGAGAGAGTTTTCTAGGTATGGAGAACTCCCAATGAGAATGCCCCAGAATGTCTTGTGAGAGGGAAAGCAAGGAAGCCACTGTCATTGAACTGTAGAGTACAAATAAAAACATCTTTATTTTTTTAAAAGGGCCTTGTTTTAACAATTGCACTGACAGTTGCCTGTGTATAAAATCCCAAATGCAGTAACATTATGGCTATTTCCTCCAGTTAAATATGTGGACTCAGAATATTTAGCCGAGGGAAAGGACTTAAATGGGGATATGATCACTCCCTTTGATGTGTCCTGCTCTGCTTTAGCCCTAGAGGACTATACTAGAAACAAACAATTGGTGGAAGTTGCAAAGGGACCCTCTTGGTAGAAGAAAAATTCCTAGCAATTAGAAATTGAATGTTCTATCTCCCACCAGATAGTGCACTGATTTTTCCCCTTCTGCCTTCCTTCCACTATAGGTCTTCAAGCAAAGACTGATGACCGCTTTTCATGTTAAGATATGAGCTGGACTAGAGAGCCTCTAAGTTTCCTTAGTTAACTCGATATTTTGTGACCCTGTGTTACTG